TTAGTAAAAAAAAATAGAATAAATTTTAAATAATAGTATTTCTAACTATATATATATATATATATATATATATATATATATATATATATATATATATATATTTATTTATTTATTTATTTATTTATAAAATAAAATATAAGGTAAAGAATATTTACCTTATAACAAATAATTTTTTTTAACTATCAATAATTTAATACATCATATTTTTAATATTTAATAATTTTGTATGTTTATTATGTTTGTTTATTTTTATTATATTTTTAATAAATAAAATTTTTTAAGGAAATAACGATAATGAAAAGAAAAAACATATTTAAAGAAATATATGAAAATATAATAAAGTTTTTAATATAAGTACAATATAATAATAGAATGAAATGTTTATGAAATTTGTTTAATTTTTGTATGTAACATGTAATAAAACATATTAATTATAAAACTTATTAAAATATTTATTTTACAAAGTGTAGTACAAAATTTTAATATAAAAATTTTTTTTAAATGCATTATTATATTTATAATTTATAATTATTGATTCTTTTATATAATTCATTTAAAATTTGCATAATTATGTTCAGTGTTTGATTATTATCTCAAATGTTATTACATAAATAATATATTATTATTTTATACTTTAAATTTCAATAACTAAAAGTTTATCAGATATTAACATTAAAATTATCTAAAGAAAATATATTAAATTAGAAGTATAATGTTTTCTAATAAAAACTATTTGTTTAATTTTAAAATTAAAAATAAACGCAGATGATAAAATAAAGAAAAAAAAGAGATCTATAGTTTGAGACGCAAATAATAACCCTAACCTTAATAAATATGTAAGTTTTATACAATTTATATATTGCTATAAAATGATAATATAAATATAATTATTGTTTTGTTCAATTAACAATATAAAAATAAAAATCTAAATAGAATATATTTATTAAAATCTAAATGATAATTTATGTATAATCTAACCTCTGTGTTACTTTGTAAAATCCTACGAGTTTTACTTACAATTTTTTATATAATATATTATTAAAATTAATTTTTATTGAAATAATCCACAAATCTTGACATTGATACCAATGTATCAAGTTATTGTTTATTTAATTTTAATAATGGCTACACTGTTAGGAACTATTTAATCGGAAGCTATTTCACTTCCGGAATTCATTAAAATAAAATTTGAAATATTCATTTTTACTCTGCATTGTATATACATTTTATATACACAATTATATTTTTATATTTTTTTCTAAATTATATTTTATACGTTTAAGTTTATAAATTGTATAAAAATTTTATATAAAATGTTTACTTTTATATAAAATTGTTTTTTATTTATATTTCGTAATTTGTCTCAATAAAATTTATTTTTTTAGCATGACTGCAGTAAATTTTGAAACACTCAGCGAGGATGAAGTTATAGGATTTTTAGATTCTATTGATACTATACTTACTGATTGCGATGGTATGTATCTTGTAGTAGCTATTGTATTTTTACAAATTAATAATATATATAATAATATTAATTTAATGTTTTAGGTGTACTTTGGATGTATATGAATCCTTTGCCAAATGCAGCAGAAGTTATAAATACTTTTCAATCTTTTGGTAAAAGGGTATTTTATGTAACGAACAATAGTACAAAAACTAGGGAAGAATTTGTTAAGAAATGTAATCTTTTAAATTTTAAAGCAACTAAAGAAGACATTTTATGTACAGCAAATTTGTCTGCTTGTTACTTACAAGATTTAAATTTCAAGAAGAAAGTTTATATTATAGGATCTGAAGGCATGAATAATAACTTTGTTATACTCTTATCTTATTTTTGTTATACTCATAAGAATATATTGATATTATCAAATTTTATATTATATGAGATTAACTATACAGAATATAATTTGCATTACAGCAATTGCAAAGGAACTGAAAGAAGTTGGAATTTCATATGTTGGTGTAGGGCCAGATCCTATTAATAAAAACATTCCATATAATACGCTTAATAAGGATCCTGAAATAGGTGCAGTTATAGTTGGTTTTGATGAACACTTTTCTTATCCAAAAATGGTTAAAGCAGCTTCATATTTAAGTGATCCTAGTGTACATTTCATTGCTACAAATACAGATGAAAGATTTCCTGTTGCTAATAATGTTGTTATACCTGGTATATATGATTCAATATATCTTTTATGATTTTTTCATAAAATGGTATAAAAATTTAATATTTCATAATCTAACATTCAATAATTACATTCTTTTAAGCAGGTACTGGAAGTTTGGTACGATGTATAGAAAGTTGTGCAGAGAGAAAAGCTGTAGTGATGGGGAAACCTGAAAGTTATATTGCAGATGTATTAATGAAACGATTTCAAGTGAATCCTGAGCGCACATTAATGATTGGAGATCGACATAATACAGACATATTATTAGGAACTCGATGTGGTTTCAAAACACTATTGGTTTTAACAGGAATTACTTGTTTAAAGGATATAGATAAGTGGAAACAGTCAGATTGTGAACAAATGAAAGAATTTATTCCTGATTATTATATTGAATCACTTGGTAATCTTTTACCTTATTTAGAAAAATTTAAAAGAAAATATGTTATGTCTAAATAGAATATAATGAAAAAAATATTATATTTATAGTATGATTAAAATATTATTTAAAACTATTGTAGTTGTATTTATTCAAAACATATGATTAGTTGAAAAATTACGCTATATATACATACATGTATAAGTATGCATTCCATTTTTGAAAATGTAATTTTAATATCTAACCTTCGTTTTAACAGAATTGTTTTTTTAAATGATTATGATTTGTTAAATCGTATTAAATATAGTTCATTCTTTAATTTTCAAATCTTGAAAAAAAATACATATGTACGTATATGATCATTTATGAAACACATTTCAAAAATACTTAATAATTAAAATTCAATTAAAAAATTAATATGAATTGTATGAATTATATTACAAAATATATGAATTAAAATTGTTTTGTTTTTTTCGATTTGTAATCATTGTCAATCATATATATTGGTCGTTGTGAATGAAATACGAACAATTTACATCCTTGTATTATGTAATAAGCACACAAGGTCACGTTGCAAATGCGTGGTCGTCAGTAAGAGGTACACTCTGTTTAAAGTTCTCTCTTTAGTTGACAGTGATTAATTGATAAAGAGTGTACTTTGCATGAATAGTACAGTCATTTCAGTTCGAAAAGTCGTATCTGTAGGTTGTAAAATGACAGCAAAACATATATTATCATTATCAAATGCAGAATTTAAAAATTTCATAGATTCCATTGATGTAGTTTTATCAGACTGTGATGGTGAGTGATTATTTACTATAAACAATTTCTATAAAAAACTATTGAAGTATTTAATAATTGAAAGATAATAATGGACAAAATACTTCAATGTGCAATGTTATAAATGGTATTTTAATCTTAGTAAACCTTAGGCGTATTATGGAAAGAAACTGAGGTAATAAAGAATTCACCAGAAACTGTAAATAAGTTCAAGGAATTAGGTAAAAAATTTTTTTATATAACGAATAATAATACCAAAACAAGATCAGAATTTGTCGAAAAATGTAAAAATCTTAAGTATGATGCAACTGTGGTAAGTAAAATAGATGCTGTAATTTTTTGAATTAAATAAGATTTATAATATAAACCATTTTTTAAAATTTTTCTTCAGGATGAAATAGTATGTACTTCATTTTTGTCTGCTGTATATCTTAAAGAAAAAAAATTTGATAAAAAAGCATATATAGTTGGAAGTGCTGGTATTACTAAGGAACTGGAAACTGAAGGTATCAAACATTGTGGTGTCGGAGTAAGTGTTTTTAAACAAAGGACATATAATTGTCTGTATAATCTTGCAACAAATTAATAATGTAAAATTTATTTTTATTATCATAGCCAGATATAACAGAAGAGGATGAAGTAGAAATGATAAAAAATTTTAAGCCAGATCCAGAAGTTGGGGCAGTTATTGTAGGCTTTGACAAACACTTTAGTTTTCCTAAGCTTTCAAAAGCTGCTACCTATTTAAAAGATCCAAGTGTTTATTTTATAGGAACAAATTGTGATATAGAAAGACCTTCACCAAATACTAATAAATTCCCAGGTTACAAAAATATTTATTATAATTCATTTGTTTGTTTCAAATATTTTTTAAAAGGTTTAAATATAAATTTTAATTATGTAGGAACTGGATGCTTCATAAAGATTATAGAAGCAGCATCTAATAGATCAGCAGTAATGCTGGGGAAACCAGAATCTTTTTTAAGCGAGTATATTATAAAGAAGTATGGTTTAAATCCCCAAAGAACGCTTATGATTGGTGACAAGTAAGTATCATTCATAATAATAATACTATACAGGAGTACTTCGTGATATTTTTGAAACACAGTTATTCTATTTCAGTTGTAATACCGATATTCTTCTTGGAAAGCGTTGTGGATTCCAAACTCTTCTTGTATTAACGGGTATTACAACACAAAATGATATTGATATCATGAACGCTTCTACTACAAATTCCAAAGATTTGATAATTCCAGATTATTATGCAAACGAGTTAGGTGATGTACTAAAAATGATTACATCATCTTGATGATTTCATTGATAGAAAATCAGACAGCTTTAGCACAATTCAATAATGTTTGCATATCATGATTATCTCATTTTTATTTATATTTTTCTGTCATTCTAATTATTTGCGTTTTAATATAATTATTTATTTATTATAACATATGCAAAATATTTAAACGGTGATAAATATTGGAAATTCTATTATGTATATTTCTCCTGATTAATTATATGATTCATTATATAAAAATTATATAATTGCATATAGAAATTTGCATATAAGAATATGCTGTGTACACATATACATATAATATACATATAATATTATAATACGTACAATGTTAAAATAGTATATATATATATAGTATATATACTATTTTATATAAATATATACATATATATAATATTGATGATTAATAGTTTAATTCAAATATAAGATGATAGTACAAATATAGAAAAGGTTTATTATTTTTGGGGATATTTTGTTATTATTACCTTCTATTTTTATTAATGTTCTTGGAAAAAACTGAAGATTTGCCAAAGAATATATGATAGTCTATAGTCAGTAATAAGACTATCATTTTATATGTATTTATATGCCTAAATATTTTTGTAAATGCTTGAACAAATGCTTGTCTGATGTATACAATAAGAATTATTATGTAAGTTACATGTATAGATTTATATTTAATTTAGCAATGAATTTATAGTTTATTATATATGTAATAATATATATGTATAGCAACAATAATAAATGTCAAAAGCACATATGATGTTTATATTTTATATAAACATATCATTTATTATTTTAATTATTTGAAATAAAATAGAAATAAAGAATTTGTTTTGTAATTGCTTTTATTTTATATATATATATATATATATATATATATATATATATATATATATATATATATTTTATATATATATATAAAATATATGCATACAATTTTAATTTTTAAATGCGAATTACCTCGAAAACTACGTGTTAAAAAAATCCTATCGAACTTCAGATAAGAAGTTAATGGTCATCGATAGGATCATAATCAAGTTTTCTGTTAATGACGCATAAAGGTGATATGAAATGAAATATGATTTCTTAAATGGAATTATATAATTTTGAATTCACTGTTTGATGCCACTCGACATTCTCTATAAAAGATTCTCAATTCTCTATAAGAATTAATCCATATATGTTGAAAAATTATCAGTTTAAGAAAGATATTGTAATTTTAATTTTGTAGAACTTGTAGAACTATATCTTTAAATCTTCTTTTCAACACTATATCTCTGGAAGCATGAGATATAGTGTTGAAAAGAGAGAAGATAGAATAAAAGAAAAGTTTTTTGTCTAATATTGTGTACCATTCGCTTTGTATAGTATGCGAGGATCATCGTTTGATTATATCGAATTTGTTTGAAAGTTACCAATGTTTTTTTTTTTTAATGACTTCTTATGTTTTTGGGTTCGTCAGTTGACAATAATAAAATATTAATTATGGTTTTGAAAATTTAACATTTTAAATTTAATGTTCTAAATCTCGATTTATTTACTCGTAAATAAATTTATAATTTAATTACTCCAACCTTGACTGATCTTATGATATCTCTTACACATGATATCTCTTATGATAGCTTTTGACAATTAGACACTCCATATACATATATATCGGATGATACCTATGGGCTGGTGAAAAATGTTATAAATAAAATTTAAATGGTTTTTACGAGGGCAGTAATTCATATAATCATGTAGGTAGTTGTGTAAAAGACATTTGAAGGTCAAGTTTTTAAATGGAACCGTGTAACAAATTTTTAAGACATCAGTTGATTTAGTTTATCATTCTATCCAAAAATTAACAGTTTAGGAGATATTTTATTAAGATATCAGAGTGATATCAAAATATATATACATTTATCGTACAATCTCTTCAATAAATATCATCTAACATCTGAAATACATAGAACGTTACGGTTAAATTCGATTCTATACAAGTATTACTCTGTAACATTTTAATAAAATCTTAATATCTCTTATATTATTGTCTTTTTTGCGGTAATATGCATATATATGTACGATATATTTATACTAGATATGCAATTATAACTTCGGGAATATGTAAGAGATTAATAAAAAGTAAACTAAAAAAAGAAGTTCTTTACAGATTTATTCGTTTTTATTTCATTTTGGAAATAACCGCGAAAAAAGAAACAAATAAGTTTTCGTTTCTTTATTTATTTATTTACATTTATTCATGTTATCGTTTATTTTATTATCTATATTATTATTTCATAATATGATTTATTATCATTTATGTCATCTATTTAATGAAGTTCAAAATAGTGGTTTCTTGCAATGAAAGCATTATATTGAATATTGACTACTCTGACTGCATTTAATATTTTAGTTACTTCCTTGAACTAATTGGTATTGAATAAATGAACTTGTTTATTTTTCGTCATTTTCTTCACTTTGAAGCAAAAAAACAAGCAAATTTCTACAGGATTTTTTTTTTTAGCTTGTCAGCCCTTAGAAATTTTGATACTTAAATTACGAATACTCTGTACTAATATATTAATAATTAAAAATAAACATTATAAAAATGAAAGTTATGTATATATAAGGTGTTTCCTATTTTTTCGACATAATTGTAGGAACATAATATACAAATAGAAAGTAAGAAAAAAAATCATCGATGTAGTATTGAATTTATTTTTATTATTATATTCTGAATTTTTTGAGAATTTTGCTGCATCTCAGCAATTGAATTATTAATTCGTTGAATTAATTATTTACGTGTACTTGCTTTTGTACTGTATACCTTTTGTTTTGAAGTTTTTCATAAATAAAAATCAAAAGTTATAAAGTCAAGAGATCAAACGTCTAATCTGTTGCTAAGCATATATTTGGGCTACAATTAATATCGATCGATCAGTGTAACAATTTTGTAACAAATCATTTACAAACAAACTTGTATAATATTTTTTCTTATTTTCACTTGCAGATCATTCTACAAGTTACAATTTTGCCAAAAAAATAGAAAGGTAATTTCTTGTAAAAAGATAAGGAAAAAAATATGGAATAAAATTTTTTTGTTTGAAGCTTGGTTTTCAAAAAAATTGAGTTTGGATAGTTCAAGTATGTTTGAACTTAGCTAATTCCAGTCTCAATACAAACAAATAATCCACAGGAGGTTATTTTATATTTTATACATATGTATATATGTGAAAATAAATAGGAAATGTGGAATAAATAAAATATCTAAATACAATTCTTTTATAGATTGCTTCATTTTCGAAAAAATTAAACTTGCACCAATTGTTAATTAAACATATTTAAATTTTAAGTTTAAGTTTATTACTTTCCTTCGATTGAGTGGTATAGCATAATATAAAGGAATAAAGGAAATAGCTTGCTTCTCTTATTCATTGTTACACAATTTTATTTATTTATGTTTATATTACGTTATGCTTATTTATTTATGTTACTTTTGCTCAATATATACATACATATATACATAACAGTATTGTCAAAGAATGATATTTTAGGAGAATCTCCTTACATTCCCAATTACTAGTGAACTTATGTATATAAATATATTTACATTCTATTTTCTTGAAAACGAGAAAATAGAATGTAAATATATTTAAACAGAAAATTTCTATTTTTTTTTAACTTAATTTTATATATAAGAATAACTTTCTGATTGTTTATATAATTTATCGATTCACATTAAACAAATTTTCAAAACTAAATTTTGAACGATTTTATTCTAAATTTTGTTTTTGCCTTTTTATAAGAAATCACCTTATACATATCTCGTATACACAACATATAATATACGATATATGATGAAACACAAGAAAGAAAAAATATCATTTTTTTTTGTCATCACGTTTTCCGTTCATAATTTATTAAATGTTTTAATTTATGATTTCATCAGTAAAACAATATTTGTTTTTTGTCAAAAAGTAAACTATACTTCATCAATATGATTTTGAAATTATTAAACAGTAAAAATTCTTTAAATATTAAAATATAGAATAATCTAAAAGAATATTTAAAGTTATCTAAATTATTTTAAATTGTTCATAATAATACCATGATATTTTGATCTTGGAATAAAATTTATTCTTTTGCAAATAACAAGAAATGAAAAAATTATATTGTACATCCATTATATTCTTGATTATTTAATCAGCTGATATCATAAGGTATACACATGTTACACAGTGTATATTAAAAAATACTACATACTTTATTTTTTATTATATGTACATATATTATGTTATATTATATGTATATTTTTTGTGAATGTTACAATAAATAACAATGGATTGTTTCGAAATTGATATTTATTGTCGCACCTAATACGCAATTATCATTGAATTTTTCTATCATTTCATTCGCTAAATTCGTTCTTCTAATGGTTAAAATTTATTCCGCACGTTTTACCGATATTTTGTCATTAAATCGTACTGGCTCAATTTTTTTTCTTTGCAATTATTGCAATCTACGTTCAAATAGAAATCTCAAACAATTTCCCATATATTTATCTTATAGGTTGTCGCATTATTTACATTTAAAATCTCTTTCCTGTACATGTACGGAAGATAAGGATTAATTGTTCTCCAAAATAGATTAAATCTTAAAGATATGATATTATAAAATTCTGTTTTATTGATAATTAAAAAAAAAAAGGAAAAATCGAATGTGAAGAAAATAGAAAAAGAGTTTTCTTTCTTTATTTTCGATGTAATATATTTGTTTAGTCTAACGAAGGAGGCGTTAAAGTTAAATTTTCTTCTTCAAAAATAGTTGATCAACTATGTTTCTGAAAGAAGAAAATTTTACTAATTACTAACGGTACGCTAACGACTAAAGTATGAAGACACAATCTTAATTTGTTGTTACTATTTATGACTGTTGGACAAAGGTCAAATCTATAATAATCAGTCGTTATCTGTAATGAAAATGATGAGTGTAATTTAGTACTACATTGCCTATTTCGTTCCAGCATAACCATATAATCATTTATATGTCCTTCGTTACTCATTTGTTGGCCCAATTGAGGAAATCATCCATATGATATAGAAGTAGATTGGTGTTTCTCAATAAATTTATCATTTTATATTTAGAATGATTAATTGGCACGGATATGATGGAACATTTTTGTATCTATGTCTAATAATTTAATACTTAGATTAAACATAATATTTCATAAATATTTATGCATACGTAAGTATGTATATCTCATTTAATCTTTGTAGTTAATTTTTTCATTTTTATCATATAACAAATAATAACAAATTTTATTTTCTAACAAAAAATATGTTTATTAATTCTTGAATGGCTTGTAAGTAGTGAATTATAAAAACATCTTTTGCATCTAATTGTTATTTTAAAGTGATATTTCCATATCATTCTATTTTGAACTGAACATAATATTTATCACCACAAAGATATGAATAATGAGAATGTTTAACTAATTTAACAGTTTTTTTACATAACATCGAAATCATTTTGGCACAGAACTTATAAATTATAAGTCTATTTTTTTGTATTTAAAATATTAGAAATAAAAATGCGTTGTAGTTCATATATTTAGTGCCAAGATAAGATTTAACAAAATGTAAAATTCGAATGGTTATAAATTAGTTTTCATTTCTTAAATCAATATAAACAATGTTTATCTTTTTACTTCTTCTACATAGATTACAAACCCATATTTCAACTTTATTTAATATTGATAAGATGTTTCTAATTTGGTATCATATTTTCGTTTGCACTGCTGGTATTATTATTATTCACAAATTAATGATATTGAACAAAAAGTTGCAAATAATGCAGTATTCTTCATAAAATAAATACCATTATTAAAGAAGATACACTTAGTCTGAATAAGCATTCTGAACAGCTATGCTTATTCTGAAACATAACAGAATATACAATATTATAAAATCATTTAGAAAAATTAATAACTGAAACGTTTATAATTAAAAACATGTAAAAGTAAGAAGTTCGTTCATGTTTCCTTAAAAGAGCCTTGAGTATTATATTTACTTGTCTATCTAATTAAAGAAATTTATATTATTTTGTTTTATTTCCTTTTACTAGTATTAAATAATAATTCATTTATCTCGATACTCTGGATCTCTTTATCGTTTCATTAAAAAAAATCGATTTTTTATGAAGAAAAAATTTGTACACCAATAGTTACAAATTATATAAGCCAGTATAGTTATTATTTCAATCGAATTATTATAGATACAATACAAATAAATTATATTTCTGACGTGTTAAGTGCTTAGTGAAAGCAGTGTACAATTCAATATGTAACAAATATTATTAACTTTTATTAATAAGTTGAATACAATCAATTTAATATTATTGTACATTCAATTTAATATTATTATACATTTGTCATTTTTCCTGTTGATATTATTAAATGATATAATTATGAACAATATTTATTCGATAAAAATTTATAATAAAGTATATATTTATAATTCCATCAAAGAAGGAATAATATTTTCTTCGAATGCAAATCAGCTTTAAAAATATACAAAGATTATTGTTCTGATTTCAAACATTGATTCATTTTTTGCAATCAGTTTAAAAATAGGTTTCAATTTTCTGTAATTTTTTATAATCATTAGCATCAAACTACCAACATCAATTTAATTATCATATTTATATAGAATATGATGTTTGAGCAAGATGAACGAACTTTTCATTCAATGGAATAATATTCTTCTTTCATATTTTCTTCAAAAAAATATGCAACCAATTATGTTACATATTCAAATATACACTATGTATCACAACTTTTAAACCTCGATAGAAGAACTTATAAAATATTTTTTCGACATAAAAATTGGATCGCTTATACCGAAGCATAATCTTTTTATTGCTTGAGTTCTCCAAAAAAAATTCTGGGACGCTCATCAATCGTTTACTACGTTATATCTAATCGTTTCTCAAGTCAAATGTTTGACATTTGTTCGAAAATATTTGAAAGCGAAATTTCATTTAGGGATTGTAAACGACTCAATTTCATCACAAACCCATAGAGAATTAAAAATATAAATACAAATACTTACAGTGTATACATTCATGTTCCATTTTTTACAATGCAATTAAACTTACAAACAACTGAATTTACATATTCGTTCATCCACTCGTTCGAAGCTTTCGTTGCCCTTGCGAACTCTTCATTGCAGAAAAACAATTTTGTATTTATTACGCGCGTAATCGCTTAAACTAGTATCGTAGATTGGTCGATTGACATCTCCTCCGACGAGCAATTCCGTGGAGAACGTTTGTACACGTGTTTTCCTTTGGTTGTCCTATTCATTGTTAGTGACCGGTCTCACGTGCCGTTTGAATTCACGTTGTAGTAATTGATACGCTCGCTTCTCGATAGATACGCGTACCAGTAGAACACGTTGATAGCTAAGAAGAACACAGGGAACACGATGCGGCTAGCACGATCGATTTTCGATACAGAATTGTATCTGGGCGTTCTCCTACGTCGTCTTCGGTCGGATCCTTTTCTGATCGGAGGAGCTTGAGGAGGAGGCGCGCTGCAAGTCACGCAGGACATCTGCCAGTGACCCACTGTAGGATTTCTGCTAGGTTCCGGAATTGCTGATAACGGTATCACTTCGATCATACCGTCCTCATTCATTGTGAAATTCCGACTTGGGTGTCCTCGTGCTGCTAGGTTTCCGGCAGTTCTTTTGTGCGAATGAGATACCTAAAATAATAAATGTTCTTTAAGCGTTGATCATGAGAAGCGTGAGAAGCAAATTGTTTTTGAGATTTGATGACCTGTTGCTCTGAAATATTTTCCACGGATCTTAATATCTGTTATATGCGAGATAAATATTTTTGCAATTTATACCAATTCTTTATTTTCTTTGTATTTCTTTTGTAATAATACAGTTCATTATTTATGGCAAGGGGATAATTGTCTTCTTTTGTATTGTTATGAGTTCATATTACTCAAAACAAAAGAAAACGAAGAAGATCAATTTATTGTGTTTTTATGTATTGTTCTTACGCGTTTACCAATTGTTTTAAACAAGTTGTTTTAAAAATTATTACGCGTTTATATTATCAATCATATTTTTTGAATATTTTCAATTAGAGGATTTCTAAGGTAGTTCTTTATCTATTATGAATATTATTCGTAAATAAATAAAGATATTGTCTTAACTTAATTTCGACGTGACATTTCTCTCTGAAAAATAAATGCAGAAAGTCATTAAAATAATTATAAAAAAGAAGAAAAATGCATTAAAGAGGAAAGTGATTCTCTATCGAGAAATTCCACAATCGACAATGGGTTAAATGTTTAGAATATAGGACAAAGATAAAAATATTGTGTATATGTATAACATGTGCAAATAAATTTCCATTTTGCTTAGTAGACAGAAGTTTCTTATTATCTTCAAAATTATTTTTTTTTGCGGTCATTCATTTTTGCAAGTTTATTTTAATATGCTTTGACAAATAGATATTGGCATTATGTGTAATATTTTTCATAGATATAACATTAATAAACAAGATTATAAAGCAATTTTTTCTCAGCATTTTTAACTTACTTTTTCTCTTCTTCTGTGTAAAAAGGAAACTGCATATAAATGATAATAATCTACGGGATGAGAATAATAATAAAAGAATAATAATAAAAGGATGAGTATATTCTAAGTAAGGGTATCCCTATAATCTTAAGTATATTAATTGTAATGTTTTATTTACAAGAAATTTTATACTTTCAATTGCCATTTTTCGAAATTATCTTTATTATAAAATTATTAAATTGATTTTTTTAAAAATAATTTATCATATTTCATAATAATAATATCATATTTCATAATAATTTATCATATTTCATAATTTATCATATAAAAATTATTAAATTGATGTTGTTTTAAATAATTTATCAAGTATATTCTATTAAACTTTTTTATTTTTCAAATAGAAGTTACCTGAATGAATTTAAATTTGTTCATGCATGTTAGTATAACTTAAATCAAAGGTAATTTTACTTCGATATGAAAAACTTTTTTCTATTAAGAGTTTTCATTGCAACAACCTACATATAACTTCAAAAATTCAGTTATTTCTGGGATTCAATTAAAGTAACTTTGCGTCATCATTTAATATTCCTTTTATACTTCATATTCTTTACTGTTATATGGAAATTGCACTTCTTTCTATGTAAATTAAAGTATCATGGACCAAGCACTTTATAATATTTCTTTATATGCAACTCGTCTCAACAATGAAATTAAATTTTTTTATTATCGATGCATTTATGATATATTTTACTTGTATTAAGAAAATTCAATTTTATTTGTATTAAGAAAAAGAAATTAAATCTTTAAATACCTATAATATTCATTAATAAAATAAAAAATCAACATACATGTATACAGCATTTCAAAATCTATTTTTATATTTATGAAGCTCTAACAATATTTAACAATATAAGCAGTAACTTTACATATTCTATATGTAATTATATATATATATATATATACATATATATATATACATACATACATATATATATATATATATATATATATATATATATATATATATATATATANTATATATATATATATATATATATATATACATATTCCATTCTAACATTTATAATTTCATTGCATTTTTAATGTTTAAGATCAATTAAAGATTAAAACTTAGGCATATTCAAATGTATTCTTCTTTTTTTACATAAAAAATGACAATGACTTTGACAAAAAACTGGAGAAAATGTGCCAACAAAAATACTTTTTATTTCTATGATATTTCCATCATTCAAATCACTATTTAAATCATGCTATAAACATTTTTTTGCAATATAAAAAACAAAGAAGATATTTAGATGGTTTTCTTCAGGTGAGATACCCACATCGTCTATTAAATGTAAATAAATAAATTAAATTGCATTTCTTTAGAGACGAAATAGAGTAGCCAAAATTGCCCATTGCGATATTTTAAGTGATAAACCATAACGTTCAAGGTATTAAAAACAATAATTTATCAGTAATAATAGAAAACTGTTATATAAAACGTAATATCTGAAAATATGTATAAATCGATCTATGATTTAAGCGCAACTCTGAGCCAAAAAAGGACATCGAATATCTACAACAAATGTGATAACAGATTTCTGCATTTTAAATTAATAAAATTGATTTTAAATTCTATGTTGAGTTAATATTTTTTTCTTCTTTATTTTTATGACGTATAATTTAATTGTCTATAATATATAATATATATTATAGATTATCTATTGTGTTATATTATTTAATTGTAGGAAAAGATAATAAATGCAAAAAGTGTAAAATTAGTTTGCAATAATTATAAATATTTAGTTTTGATTTATTCAACGCAAAAGGATATTAAAACATAATATTCTGGTTAGAAAAGCTAACAGTTATTGCTTTTTAAGATAATAACAAACTTTATATTATTTATTAAAATTTGCTACAAACTGATTATGTAACTGATTATTTAATAGATAGGCCCTGGCCTTTCCCATAATTAAGTAAAATAGATACTTAAGTCGTAAATGTACGTTCATTTTCTTTGCAAAAGAAATCTTTATTTGCAAAAGTATTTGAAAATTCATTAGACAAAGTCGAATAATTAAGATATATAAAATTTTATATTTTTTCAATTTCAAATAATTTTTTAAATAAAGTATATTTATGAACAGTAAATACACACTTTGAAATTGGATTTATCAATAAATTATAATTAAAATTAAAAATCATAGTTCAATATAATTTTATTCTATAATAGTTTCATCAGATATTTTTATGCTGTATTCGAAGAATGAAGTTTTGGATTTTCATTTTTTGATATCTTGTGTATTTAAAACTTATAAAAAATGTAATTCGGAGAAGAAAGAAATATCTATACTTTGGCGATTTGTGGAACAACCTTTTCAATTATAATTAATATTCATTATCAAGTTTACGTACAATTACAGCGAAGAATACAATTGTATCAATGACAATGAAAAATTGTCGATAGTTCAAATTGATATAATTTCGCGAAAGATTATATAATGATTCATTTGGTTGTTTAATCGATTCATGCTCTTTTAAAGCAAAGCCTCTACTTTGACAATCACGAGTTTATTTTCTTTGAACATGATTTTACATCATGTAGCGAGTTAGAAATTGAAAAATATTTTTTTCTTGAAAACTGTGAAAATTCAAATGTGTGAAAAAATATTTAAAAAAAATCTTTCGTGACTAGATCCATAATCATTCTGAAGATTAATGTCTTTTCTATTATAGGAATCCCTTAGAATCTGTTGTACGATTCTTCTTTTATCATTTTATTGAATGTTAAATATCAAAGAAACCTTAACATTTCGTTATCTGATTCTAACATTCGAAGTTCAATAAAAAGATGAAAAAAAGATCCTATAGCAAGTTTAAGAGGTCATTGTAAAAAGAAGGATTTCAATTTCCAAAATCATAAATTGTAAATCTAGCCATGAAAAATAAATTTTTTTAATGTTTTTACATACGTTTGAATTTTTATAATTTTTGAGAAAAAATCCTTACTTTTCCACTTGTTGTATGATGCAAAATCATAAAGAATGATTTAGAAAAAATGAACTCACGACTGTCAAAGTAGAGATTTTACGCTTTAAAATGAAACCAAATGGATCGTTACATCTATGATCTTTTTCTTTACGGAGTTATAAGTTTAAATTATTGACAATTTTCCATTGATACAGTTATGCTCTTCACTGTATGTATCTGTTAATTTATAATATCGGAGTGAACTATAATAGATTGTTATGCTGGCAAAATAATCTATTATAGATTTCAATCTGGCTACTCGGAAACGAGAAGCCAAATTTGCAGATTTCAATATAGAACAATGTCGAGATAATGGAGTTTTGCCGATTTCTTATGTATATATATGTGAAATATAATATCATTGTTATTGGAATTTAGGAATATTTTTATTAAATTAGTCAAATTAGTAATTTATTAGTTCTTATTTTAATTTTGTATATTTACAATATACCTTTTATTACTTATTAATAATAACTAAACGTGTCATTTACAGCGATTTCTTTGTCATTGCTATTTACTAATTTTATTAATTATTAATTAAGTTTTAATTAATTTTCAAATTTTACTGAGTACTTGGTCAGAATTTGAGAATTTGTAGTACTTTGGATTTGAATGCAATTCAATGAAAGAAGAAAGTAAAAAATTGAAATTATTAAAATATAATAAGTAGCAATCTGTGGATGACGTTGATAATAGGCTAATAAATACTGCAATATTGCAGTAAAAATAGAAAGATATGATATAATATTTATTGTTGTAAAAGAGACAGTATATAGTCACAAAAGTAATATTGTGGATGTCAAGAATGAATTTATTTCAGAATATATTTTTAATAATAAAATATGTATATATCTACTCACTTATAACTGTAACGTTATATTGAGCATTATAATATTTTTATTTGAATATAGAATAATTAAAAATTTGATTTCAATGCAATTTGATTTATTTAACTCAAAGAATATCACTCGCAAAATAAAATTATTCTTCTTCGTAGGTATAAATGTAATTCTTATATTTTCATGTCAAAAGTATTTATTGCTGTAAAATAATTAAACAACTTTATCATAAAGACAAAACATTTACACGATATTGTTTGTGATTTAACACTAGAGCAACCATACCTATTAATATTTTATGACAGATTTCAATTGCTGAAAAGATACGAATATTTTTATTAAAATTAATATTAATTTTTATTTGGGCAAAAATGTAATTGTATAAATCTATTTATTTTAATTATTACTATTTAAATTACAATGATTTATATGTATAATATTCCATGCATTAATGATCAGTTATTCTAATGTCAAAACAAATTTGAAACGATTAGTATAACTTAAGCTCAAGAAATTATAAGAAAATAAATTTAAATCCGTTTGTTTCACGAACAGTGCTGATTATAAAAATTTATTAACTATCGGCTGTTTTTCATTTAAGCAACAGAATATAAAATGTATAAATTAACAATGTATTACCGATTCTTTCTTCAATCGTCTCGTATTTATTTCCTCTTCATCACTGGAACTCTCGCTTTCACTTAAATCGGAGCTGAAATAACATTCGCCGGAACCGTATTTGGTGAAATAGTGGACCACTGCGAATTGTATAATAGTGGCGAAAATGAAAGCGAACGAGAGAAAAACGAAGAAGTCCAGGGCAGTGGGGTAAGGAACTTTAGGTAAATCTGTTCGTGCCTCCAATCCCAAAAATGTCATTGTCAATACCGTTGTTATACCTTTAAACAAAATTAATACAAAAACTTTCTTTCGTATATTATTCGATATTATTTAAGTTGTTAAAGAAAGATTAAAATTAAATACATAATCTTACAAAAATATCTAACATTATTATTTACAAATTTGAGATAAAGATATATTGTATTCTAGTATTTCACCGATTACTTTTATATAACTTGTTTCATTATTTCGAAGAGTATGTTAGAAGTGACGATCGACGTTATTAAAGATCATTTATTCGATTTCTAATGATGAAATGTTTTGGTAGAAATGATTTTTGCGAACTTGTTAATATAATCTGAATAACTCTTTTCAAAAGTTTCCTTTTTTGATTGACACAAGTTGAAAATATTATTTATTAATTATTAATTGATCTTTATTATCAATTTCATAATTTTTCTAAGCATATATGTAACTATAAAATGTGACCTAACTTACCTAGTGATACACGATCTGCAGTGGCTTCTCGATTTAACCAGAAGGAGACCCAAGAAAGGACAACTAATAAAACACAGGGCCCGTATACTTGTATAAGAAAATTACCCATGTGCCTTTGCAGATGAAAGTATACTAGCAGCATTGAATATTCCGCTGGAATCAGATAATACTTTCAGTATTGTCAAAAAATAAAAGAATTTATATACTATTTATTCACTATGCTATTTAGTCTTGTTGTCTAACATTCATTAAAATATTAATATAACGATGTCAGATTGTATTCTTATTTTTACTTTTTCTTCAAGGTTAAAGGGAAAAAATTCAGTTTATCAAGAACAAAATTTTTCTCTTATTTTCAATGTGCTGAATCCTAATATGTACGCTATATATATCTTATATGCACATTATATAAGTCTATCTTTCATAATTTAAGTGAAAAAAAATCTATAAGAATTATGCCAATATAAATCAACTTTATTCATCATTTTTTTAGTTCTTATCCATCTCTTATGCGTATATCGATGTAACATTTATTTTCTACTCGTTTCAATTTTTATTTCTAGTTAAATTCGATATCAAATATCAACTCGGATCGATCGAAATCGAAATCAAACACGGCCACGATCATTAGTTTCTTTGGTTACGTACAAAATCTACCGATATCCAATGTAGTTTTTCGTCGCTTTGTTTGTCTTGTATTCTTCTCTCGTTTACAAAGAACTGAAACTGATTGTTTGAGATTCTCAAAACATAAATCAGAAACTTTGTAAAATTTTTAAGTACTGATTTTACTTTACAAGAGGAATTTCTTATTTTAAGAACTGAAGTTAGCATTTTTATTTAAATTTTTGTTGGTTACACGATTTAAAAAAGTGCAAATAGAAGCAAAAATCTTTCTTTTTGAATTTAATCTACATTTTTTTTTCTATATGTATTACAAAAAAATTTTCATAGTATGTATTGATGGTGATGTAATAAGATATACTTCTTTTTTTTTTTTTTTTTTTTTTTTTAATTTTTTTTTTATAATTTCTTTAGATATTTCATATTATCATTCCAGAATTACGATTGATTGCACATTTGCTTATATTCTTAAAAATCAAAAGACACACATAAATCAAACATTCTTTATTCGCGTTGTAAATGATTCTTTATTAATTGATTCCATACTTTCTCTTATCTGAATTTCGAGAGTTTCGAATCATGAAGAGAGTAAGAAATCTCGAATTCGCTTTCTTGGATTTCGGCGGATTTTCGACAATTCGGATGATCTGTCGCAAAAACACAAATCTTTTATCCTTGCGAGCCTTTCAATGCAATCACTCTTAAATGCGATATTTAAGAGTGATTGCGGAGTATTAATCGATGCTAATCCAATTAAAAGTCGGCGTCTTTCCTCTCTCCTTGTTCCTTGTTGTCAGCCGATGGAAATACAAGAGGGACCAAGTTTCCTACAGGAGGATACTGCAATTAGTCGTCGTTTCTCTCGCTGCCAACTTTCAATGAGAATCCCCTGCCTCTTTTCTTCATCCTTCTTCCACTATTTTATCCTCTATCCCCCTTTTACTGCTTCTTTGTCTCCCCTTTTTTCTTTTTCTTCTTTATGTCGTCGTTTCTTCAATCCCTCCCATTTCTCGGCTGGTTCATTCATAGCTTCGATATTCTTGTAGAATTCGTAAGCATGGTTCAACAAAACTTCCCTGAATGAGTTTCCTTGCAATCGTTAAAAGATCATTCCTTTTCCTTGTTTCTTTAATTCGTACAAGTCTCTTCGTTACTAACATTCTTCAACGGTTCTTATCACGCGACACGATTTTTCCTTCTTTCGACGTCACTGTCATTTATCACTTATTTTTCTTTTTGGTTTGATCTTTCGTTGTCGATCGGGATTGTTTCGATTGAAACGTTTTCTTAGTTTAAATAGTAGATATTTTAAATAGAGTTTTTTTTTTTTTTTTTTAATGAATAGGTTACTGTTTACACGATTGTTAAAAAAAAGTCGACAAACGTTTCTCAAAATGAAAACTAGATCGAATTTTTTAATTTGTAATAACGAATTTTATAACGATAATAACGATAATGAATTTTTTCGTTAGAAAAAAAATTAGGATTTCATATAATAAGAGCGCAGAAAATTCTCAGTTACTACTGAAATATCCATTAAAACCTTATCGTATAGGTGTGTTACATTCTTATTCAGGTATTGAAAATTCTATCACGTAGTGCAGTATGTCTTCAATTTATTCGTCCGAAGCATCGAAATTCCATTTGTCGTTTTTCTACTATACTTTAAAAAGGACATGTATTGTTCATTCGAACTAAAGGTATTTGATAATACTGTTTGATTTATTGTTTTACATTACTAAAAACCAAAAATAAGTATATCGCAGAGTATTATATTTTATTCCTTCTTTTTTTGTAATAAATCAAGATAAGACAGTTACAATTATTGCAGGCGCAAGGAAACTCGTTTTACACTTTTCTGTACGTATTATTTTTAGATTATGTATGTATATATAATTTTTCATAGTTAGATAAATTATATCTGCAATTGTAACAGATTATAAATATCATTGCATTTATAATTATCGACGGAATATTTTAAAGAATTTACAATTATAAATTGTATGACACCCGTTTGATTATAATATTTTTATTTAACTATAATAGGAGAGTGTGTACTTAATATGCCATAATGCGGGAGATCACGATTTACTTTCTATTCCGTTTCCTCTGCTTCCGTGCAAATGAAAATTTACAGAATGGAACAAGCAGATTACTTCTGATTTGAAAAATACGACAAACTAGGTTTATGTTTAGTATTTTCAACCTTGCATACTTTGAATATACGTTTTCAATATTATCAGCTAGTTTTTCTTTTAACTGTTATTAATCTCTTGCGCTGGAATGACGTGCCACTCAGTTTTAAGTATATTTAAGTATATTTAAGTGTATTCAAGTACAACAAAATAGGCAAAACAAATAATAAATTTATTACTTCTCAATAATTTCTATCCAGTGATATCATACCGACGAGTTCAAAAAGAAAGCGTCGAATTGTTGAATAAATGGTTTGGTCACTCGTTATGGTCCGCAATCAGTTGCCAGCGGTAAGTGGTTAATATTCTGTATTGTGATTATTATTGTTTCATTAAGTTTTCTATAATTTAAAAAATACAATCAACTAGATACACTTGATTTTTTAATGCATCAAAATATTTCAATATATTAATAAAATTAAAATTAAATTATTCCAAAATGCATTAAAATATTTAGGAAAAGAATTAAATTTTTAAATTGAAATAATAGATTATAATATTATTATAAAACATATAGATAATATTTATATAAAGTAAATATAATCTAATTTTTCTTAGCAACAATTAGATTGCGGATGTTTTTGCAAATTTATATTTTTTTAAGCACCATTAAAGAAACAGAACTTAAGCAGAAGTTTTTTTCAGCCATTAAATCTCGTAATGAGCATTCTATATTAGAATTTTCGATGATATTGTACGATGATATTATTATATTATTATATACATTAAGTACAATATATATATATATATATAAATTTGGAGAAAATATTATTATTTGATAATTTATCGTTTTCAAATACAATTAAAATAAAATTACAATGTAATGTTCATATTGTATAGCAAAATCAAATTGGTTAATTATTAACTTACTAGTTTAAAATAATAAATTAATTCATTTCTGTGCATTCGTAATGAGGACAATTTTAAAAAAATTTGCTAGAGATTCCGAAAGTACAAATATCTTATTTTTTAAACATAAAGATTTAGATTCCATTAAATTTGAACTGTAACTTTAGGTCTGAGAAACATTTAAAATTTGTTTAAATTTCTACAAATCTCTATGCATCTCTTTATAAGTGACTAGAATGTAAAAAAATGGAAAGTAAAAATAAAACAATAAAGAATAGAAAGAATGAAATAGCTCCTTCTTTTTCCAACGATTTTAACAACTGTTTTTACATAAACTGTTTCGAATAAAATGCCGCTGGAGGAAGTGTCGACTCACCGTGTGAAAGCGTCGCCGATGCAGAATAATTTGCAGTAGGATTGGCAACTAAATCAAATTGAGATAATTTCATGTCCTCAGCGATTGCTACTTGTCGGGCGCTGTTCCACTTGTAGATCACGTCTCGTTTCGTGTAACCGACTGCAATCAAGAGAATATTTCTCACCTAGCTTGTCGCGAAGAAGCTATAAAAAAGTCGAATTCGTTCGTCGCTGATGCGTCGTCTTTCGTTTTTTGTCGAAAAGTCACCCGAGGGATTAGTACTTACGTGTATATGTCACTGATCTAAAATCTCTCTCATTTCTTCTGCGACAGGTTCACGCAAAAAACCGATAATTATCGCGAATCGTTTCTGAGTTATGGGAATACTTCATCCTTTTAATGTTCTTTTTTTTACCTTTAAGAAATGTTCTCGGAGTTTTCAAACTTTTTCAATAATTTGCTTCTTTTTCCAATGAAAATAAATTTTGATAAGAATTATCGCAATGTACGAAACAACGATGAAAATGTGAAAATTTCATTTTAGATTAAAGCGAGTAATGATTAATTAAAACAGAAGAAACGAGAGAAATTAAGATTTATGAGTCTTCCAAATTTTTAAATTTTCTTAAATTGTAAAATGTGATAAATAATGGAATAATATAGAGAATATTTATTATATATATATATATATTATTTTATATTTTATATTATTATAGTTTTTATACTATAAAATAATATTATATATATATATGTATAAAAACTATAATAATATAAAATATAAAATAATATATATATATATATATAATGGAATGATATAGAGAATGTTTATTATATATATTTTTTTTATTTTATATTTTATATTATTATAGTTTTTTACTATAAAATAATATAATATATATATATATGTATAAAAACTATTATATATATATATATATATATATATATTTATAAAAACTATAATATATATATACTATATTATTTTATATTTTATATTATTATAGTTTTTATATATATATGAATAGAGAAATGTTTCTCTCTTTAAAATGAACACGTACAGCTGCCAAATTGTAGCGGACATCTCTGTGTATCCATTGGAAAATTTTCGAGATTCATTGGACAGCCAGCCTTGATCGTAAGCCTAAAATTAAACATTTATAGCATTAGAAAAGGAAAATTCGTTAGTAATAAATATACATATTACATGGAAATATTTTACACTCAATCACCACAAGAATGATAATTAATGTATGTAATTGAAAGTTCTTTGAAGAAATGAATTTTCCATATATCATAAAGAAAGCATTTTTGAAGTCATACTTCTAATAAAACATTTTATTAGAATATTGATTTGTTACTATCAATGTACAATACATTTACGTGTTTTTACTTATATTTGCTTAATTAATTACAGTTATAGTTGCAGTTAACACCAGTTGGTATTGTTACGGATACATAGACGCATCATAATGTTAAAAAACCCATCTGTGTTAGTAACTCAAATTCAATATCTAACTTGTTCTATCGTATAAGATTCAAATTAAAAGAATAGAGTTCATCTAATCGTTATCATCTCCAAAAAGAAAAAATTGAAAAACTATGTCACACGCAGATTCATTTGTCTATTTGACATGATTCTGTATGACCATAACATCTGGCATCGGCCGATTTCGTTCGTCGTGTGCAGTGCAGTTAATAATTCATACGTGAACCTTCAACTCTGTAACAACTATGCCTTGTTCATCACGTGTTGCTTCGTGATATCGTGAATCGTCGAGCATGGGAGGGGCTATCTATTAATTCGCACGTACAATGTGCATACGGATGAAATCTGAAATCGTACTATCGGGAAATATTATTTAGCGCCGCTAGAACGAACATTTTCGAGCTCAACGGACGATGAGGAACGAGCCACGGCTTAGCTATTGTTCTTTTAGGGCGATGGACAGTTGGCGGCTTCGTGAGATACGAAGCGATATATGAAATAATTTTCCACTGATGGATTTCTCTGTTCTTCTATTACTTCTATTGCTTCTATTACTTCGATTAATTTTAGCTTTCAGAACGAAGCACATGAAATGCTTTTTTTTTTTTCTAAAAGGACAATTCGACAATTGGCAAGATTAAATTTTTATTCCATTATCGATTATTAGCTCGTTTAGTGTCCAAGTGCCGATTTCTGTCTTATTTGGAACATTTGATTACTTCGGCTTCTTCTTATTGACGCCTTGTTGTCACGAAATGTTTCTACTAAAAAAAGTATGCCTGTTTTACCGAGATTTTTACACATTTTTACACATTCTGTTTCGATAATGCTTTGTAGTTCTAGAGAATATACAGAGTGTCTGTAAAGTCTCTTTACAATTTCAAAAATTTATTAGACAAATTTAGAGGCAAATGAAAAGGCAGGTAAGTGGAAATTATTACAAAATGAGACATATATATATTTAAGTTTCTTCTCGCCTCATTTAATACACCTCTATATGGGCGCCATTAGTTGCACGAAGCACATCAAGACGGTACTCGATTTCTTACACGATCGATGTTTTCCTCAAATGTTCTTGGTTATCCGCTTTTCCCTTTGTCGACGACTGTCTGTCTCCATAAATTTCTTGTGCCATGCACGAATTGATGGACGTGACGGTGGATCTCTTCCTTAGTTAGTTCTGAAGTTTCGCTGAGTCTGCAAATTCAATTTGGTTTCAATAAATTATGATACACATTGTGTCTCTCTCTTGAAGAATAGCCATTTTGTAAGGGGTTCATTTTACCAATATCTTATTCATCAACAGGGTATCTAAAATGCAATGTGATAAAAACCTTGATAACCACTGAGTACATGGAACAAATCTGATGAAGATATCTCATCAATTGCCTTTGTAATAAATTTTTGAAATTGTAAAGAGACTTACTTTATGGACACACACATGGGATTATGTTAAAGATGTCGTGTATCGAACAAAGGTACGTGACATCACTAATCTAAAGCAGAGGATCACTGATGCCGTTGCCACCATTGATGAGAGTATGTTACAGCGAACATGGCAAGGGATCGAGTACCGTCTTGATGTGCTTCGTGCAATTAATGGTGCCCATATAAAGGTGTATTAAATGAGGCAAAAAAAAAAAACATAAACACATATGTCTTGTTTAATAATAGTAATAATTTCCACTTACCTGCCTTTTCATTTGCCTTTGTAACAAATTTTTGAAATTGTAAAGAGACTTTATGGACACCCTGTATAGAAAAATTGTAAGGTACTAAGAAGGTTAAAGATTGTATTATTATCATGAATTCCATTAAGCATTTGCATAATGGTTTTGATATGTCATGTACTGTCCATATCCAAATGCATGATTACATCTAGAGACGATTAATGGTATATTAAGTAAGTAAAATTTTTTTAATTGCATTAGAGCCTTTTCTCTTATAGAAATGCAGAAAAAAGAAATTCGAAGAAAAACTTCTGTTGGAATTTTAATTATTAGAATTATTAGAGCTGGAGTTTTAATAAGTCTCAGCTCATGTAATCGTGACAATTTGTACATCTTGTAGCAAATATGGAGAATAGGTGAAAAATCAGTTTGGCCAATGATCAATTTGACCAAGTTGAAATATAATAGCAAGTTAGCCTGCAAGAAATACGAGATGACCCATAACTAATCGGACAATTTGTTTGTTGCTGAAATGTGTTACATTTACTATTAAATAGATCACGGTCAGGATTGACTTTCAAATATGCTCAACGGATTGTCTTCACTGTGAAATTTCAATCACAATTATAAAAGTCTTTATCCGCAAAAGATAATTTAGCTTACATGTCTTGTGCAAATTACTTTATGACTTATTTTCTAATTGTTCAGGAACGTGATAACAGAGAATGCATATAGTAATGTAATTAATAAAAATTGTGTAATTACTACATAAGATTTATGTACTACATTGCATAAAATATACATATAATTCTCTTTGAAAAAAAGTAGTTGACTTTCATATTAACACTACATCATGCCTTCTTTTAACGCTATTCAACTTTTGCTTCAAACATTTTTTCACACAGTGGGTAATTTTTCAATAATTTAAACTCATAAAATTAGGTTTTATTCTATATTTTATATATTATAGAATATCTTTTTGTTGCTCAATAACACACTATTCTATGTCAACCTTCTGTCTGACAACAGAAAAATATAAGTAGATATATTATAAATAAAATGAGTTACAAATAAAGATTAGTGAAACATTAACATAATTTTTCGAAAAATAATGGAGTTACAATCCATGCCATGGCCGTTTTCTATTCTTACAATAAATTTCTAATAGGCGAGCAAAAGAGTACAAAACAAATTTTAGTCAAAATAATGTAGATTTAAAAAAAGGTGATATATTTTTGAAATACAATGGAAAAAATCATAAATATACATAAATATACAGTATGCTGCATGCGTGTACGTCTTAACTGTTGAAAATATAAAAAAATATTTTAAAGAAACGTTTTCAGGAGAACATATAATTGTTGTTATTTTGCTTTTTAAAAAATAATTTCAAAATACATTAAACTTTATTGTAGTATAATGTATTTAGGCATTATTCAAAATTGACTTTTTTTATGTATAAAGGTCACGAAATCGTAAAGGCCACGAAAATGTAAATTAAAAGTTTTATCAAAAACTAGTTCAATTTTAAGAAATAAAGAAAGGCGAGAGGAGAAAAAAAAAGAAAAGTAAACAAAACAGCATAATAAATCGTATATCGTATATTGGTCGAATAAATTGAATTATCTTTAATAATTGTATTAGTTATAAAATGAATGACAATATATGATAAATAACAGATGATAATTAGAAAAAGTTAATGAGCGAAATTTAGATTCAATTCAGGAACACTTATGTGTGAGAAATTAGGTTTATTACGGTATTAGAAATCATGTAAATCCATATATAAATCCAGTTTATATAACAATTTCAATTTTACGTATTATATCATTAAACACCGCATAATTTATTATTATTATATGCATACTATTATATTATATTATTTTTGTTGAAAAAAAATCGATATGATTGTGTTTTTAATTTTGACTGTGTGAATTGTGCAAATCACTGTATATTGCACAGCGTCTATGAATACGCTATAAGTCGAAGAATTCAGCTGTGAATACCATGATCTATATTTGGTGTCTCTTACGGAGATTCGTGAGTAGTAATTTGATAGTTAAGTGATGACTGCATTTATATAGGTTTTGTGATCAAATGGGATAGGACTGATGCTTCGGACAATGGTGCAACACAAAAGATGGTACATCAGATTTCTACGTATGAAGGACACATGATATTGTAAAAAAATTGGTAGTAATTACGAAAAGAATAGCCGAAACATGCACGGTTAGTAGAAATTTAAAGACAGACGTCTTTTGCTTAACAGATATGTTAAGTTATAGTTAAGTTTATGTTCTTACATACAGCTCTCGCATGGACGCAGGATTGAGATAGATCCAATCAACGCCAGCGCGACCATCACAGTTTCATGCCGTATCTGTTAGATAGATCAAGCTGTAGGACCATCATTCAAGTGAGACGAGTCCATTCTAAAGTCTTACTGTCCAGTTCGAATGTTGCTCACACACCGGATACATCAGGAGAACAGTCTTTTCGACATTCACCTAACCAGTATTTGATTATTAAACTACTACCTCCATGAGTTCAATACTAGTCAACCGGAAACGAAAGGAATCCTATCTCGGGGATTCAAGATTATCGATAGGATTATCGTAAACTAGTAAGGTGGGATCGTCGTATTCAGTTAGGGCAATCTCCATCACTAATGAGATACCCGGGAGCCTGTGATGGCTATATTCACTGAAAACAATCAGAGCAATCTTCTCTGTTCCTCCTACAGAGAAGCAAGTAGATACAAGATGTCGTAGTTGATTTTATGTGCGTACACTTAGTATAAAACCTCATCACACATGAGCACAAGATTGAGATATGCTCAATCAAAATAGCGCATTTATCTATAAATAGATCAGACTACAGAGCCTTCACTTGTCATAAATAGGCCATTTCCCAAAATCTTATCATTCATCCAAAATTATCGAGCAATTACATCGACTTTGTCCAAAAATTTCATCTAGCCAGCAT